CTTAAAGCTTCTTCTTATACGATGAACATTTTATGTACATATAAATAAGGTATATGAGCTGATTCACTTTAGTTCTGTTGAATGAGATTTGGTGTGCCATTATTTAATAACAGACAACAGGTAGAATAAAAGGTGAGCAAAAGTACCATTAACATTTATAGACAGAATATTTTTACCTATCTTTAAAAACAGATCTGTTTAAAAACACCTGATCTAAAGTGTAAAACTAGCCAGTTGTAGCCAGTATACATAAATAATCAGGAATGAATGCAAGCATGTTGGGATTTCTCTTATGTGGGATAGGTGAAATATAGTCTTTAATCATTCCACTTTCTGAAGGTTTGCAGTGGTCTTTGAAGATGGTATTTTCAAGCTGCTTTTGAAGAAATATGTCACTATGACATTGATTCAATCCTTTAATCATAGGTTAGACTACTGTATTCATTAAAAATCTTTTTTTCTCTCTGTTTCCTGAGAATGTATATTCATTTGTATTGATCTTAACATAATGTGTTTTTTTTCTTCTATGTTTCTGCCTAATTTAGTTGAAAATTTATTTTACTCAAATCTATTCATTACACTATTGAAGGGCTGAGCTGAAAGTATTATGGTTAAGTATTTTTCAGTAAAAAATGTATGAAGAACATGATTAAGCTCCCAGAAATTATATGGAACAGAATGAACAGTAGTAGAGTTATTAAAAAAGAGCAGCATTAAAATGAACAAAAATTCTTGTGTTTCCCTAACTTTTTTGTAAATGCCTGCTATGCAAAATACAGAGTAATCATAGACTTTACCTGGCTTCTCTGGTGACTTTTTATGTTGGCTTCTAGAAGTCACCATTGTATACAAGCTCTTATAAGGTCTTTGTTTTCTACCTATAATCATTATTTTCTTCTTATACAGTGCACTATATGGGTTTGCAAGGATTTAGAAGCAAGTCTGTTTAATTCTTTTGGTCGACCTAATCCTGTACTGACTAGTTATAGTTGGTTACTAGTCATAGTTGTGATCAAAATCACATTTCAAAAAGTCATGTGTTTAATACAATGTACTAAAGTAAGATTTAAAAAAGCCCAAAATTCTCGTATGCAAGTTGATAAAATGACTCAGTAATATGCTGCATATGTTCTATAATGACGGGTTATTTATGTTATATATATGATTTTGGAAACAATTAACCACAGGCTCATACACTACATTGCCAAAAACATTGGGACACCCCTCCACCTTCACTGGAATCAAGTGTTCCAATCCCCTCCATGGCCACAGGTGTATAAAATCAAGCACCTAGGCATGCAGACTTCTTCTACAAACATTTGTGAATGAATGGGTTGCTCTCAGGAGCTCAGTGAATTCAAGCGTGGTACCGTGATAGGTTACCACCTGTGCAATAAGTCCATCTGTGAAATTTCCTTGCTACTAAATATTCCACGGTCAACTGTTAATGGTATTTTACCAAAGAGGAAGCCATTGGGAACAACAACCACAAAGTGGTAAGCCACGTAAAATGACAAAGCAGGGTAAGCGCATGGTGAAGCGCACAGTATTCAGAAGTCGCCAACTGTCTGCAGAGTCAATAGCTAAAGACCTCCAAACTTTGTGTGGCCTTCAGATTAGCACAACTGTGCATAGAGAGCTTCATGGAATGATTTTCCATGGACGAGGAGCATCCAAACCTACAATTACCAAGTGCAACACAAAGAGTCGGATGCAGTGGTGTAAAGCATGCCGCCAATAGACTCTAGAGCATTGGCAAGGTCCATAAAGACATGGATGAGCAAGTTTGGTGTGAAGGAACTTGACTGGCCTGCACAGAGTTCTGACCTCAAGCCTATAGAACACCTTTGGGTTTAATTAGAGTGGAGGCTGCTAGCCAGACCTTCTGTTCCAAGATAAGTGCTTGACCTCACAAATGCTCTTCTGGCAGAATGGTCAAACATTCCCATAGACACACTCCTAAACCTTGTGGACAGCCTTCCCAGAAGAGTTGAAGCTGTTATAGCTGCAAAGGGTGGGCCAATTCAATACTGAACCCTACATACCTAAGGACTGGGATGCCATCAAAGTTCATGTGCATGTAAAGGCAGGTGTCCCAATACTTTTGGCAATATAGTGTATAGGAATCATTTCTTCTACCCACTACCTTAAAATGAATCTCCTCTCCATTTTTGGATTTGTGTCATATATGTGACATATAAATACCATTTTTTTATTGAATAACTGTACTTTTAAAGGCCCCTGCATTCCAGATCCCCTCCTACGTTTTACACTGACCTGTCCATGCTTTTTGGAGACATTCACTGTGTAGCTCTACCACTGCTTTAAAAGTCTCCAAACTGGGCTGTGCATTTCTATAGAAAAGCCAAAGACCATTAAGACAAATTCTTTCCATAATAATTAATGGAGAACATGGTGCATATGTTAAGATGAAGAGCCCAGAATAGCAAAGATCTTGCAGAAATGGGGAGAAGTACGTTTAAAACTTAGGGCAAGTTCTGGGAGGGGGATTTCAAAGGATACTTGTATTAATTCTTTCAAAAGACATGATGTATATCATAAGCGCTAGATGGATAATTTATAACTATAGTAGACACATTTCATAGCACAGTTGTTAGGTTGAAGTCTTTTCAATAAAATTACCTACATGAGAGCCATAATAAATTAAACTTAACAGAAATTCAACATGCAGATGTTAGAACACACAATTTCACACCTAGGAATCTAGGACTAAAAATTTGAAAAAAAAATACAAAATGCATTTATTTTTATAGAACAAGTTCAGAAACCTTTTTATTTGTAATGTATCAAAGGTCATGTTACTAACAATAAATATTTCAGCTAGTGGTGGACTTCAGCAAAGGGCTTTTGCTATCCTTTCATATTTCAGCCACTATTACTTGCAAGGCTAAGCTTTTATTTTAAAGGCAAGAATAATACTTACACGTTTTGTTTTCATTGACTTTGTTCATGTTTTAGCAGTCTAGTGTTAACGTTATGCAAACCAAAAGGCAAGGGCATCCAGTATACTGATGTGACTTCATGATAAATCTTCTAAACATACTGTTGCACCATGTAATTAAACATCATATAGTACCATGAACTGATAACTGTTCCGTATCTGCCTCCCCCCTCTGCCAATCCCTCCACTGGCTTCCAATTGCCCGACGGATAAAATTCAAAACACTAACACTGACGTATAAAGCCGTTCATAATACTGCCCCAAACTACATCACCGATCTAGTTTCCAAATATCACCCAAACCGCACTCTCCGCTCCTCACAAGACCTCCTACTCTCTAGCTCCCTTGTCTCTTCCTCCCATGCTCATCTCCAGGACTTCCCCCATCCTCTGGAACTCCCTACCCCAATCCATCAGACTATCACCTACTCTGCTCACCTTTAGGCACACTCTGAAAACCTATCTCTTCAGGGAAGCCTACCCCGCCCTCAGCTAATACTGAACTCCTCTACTCTTTCAACCACTCCATCCCCCACAGCTATTTCCTCCTGTACCACTAACCCCTCCCTCCTAGATTGTAAGCTCCAAGGAGCAGGGCCCTCGAACCCCTTTTGTATTGAATTGTATTGTATTGTTACTGTACTGTCTCGTGTACTGTCTCCCGCCCGCTGAGCAAACTGTCGGCGCTATATAAATCCTGTATAATAATAATAATAACCAAAGTAGGTGGAAATTAATTACAAAGTTCACAAGGCACATACAGTAGGGTGAATGGAGGGGATTAATATGATGGAATTATTGGGCTTATGTAGCCAGTGGTCTCCAAAGTTTATTAGGGCTGGTATAAAGTATAGCCAGTATTTTAGGTCTAGTAGAGACGACTGGGTTAACAACTGGGAAATGACTGTGCTGAGCAGGCAGGATAAATAGACAGTGAGCCTGAAAAGTACCAATCATAAGACTTCTTGTAAATGTAAATTGTAATGTAAAACCATGAGCTGGCACAGTCCCATTACAAGAATACAGAATCCCTTCCTGCAATAACTCAGGTGCCTCTGCAAAACTCAATGCCCCAACTTGTGGCTAATCAAGTTGGCTCTGAGGAAGAGGTTGTGTCCTCGAAACGCATTAACCAGTTGGTCATCCAGGGTTCCATCGTTTGGACTCAGATGTTGTTTGGATCATACATCTTGTTCAGTTTGACATGCCTGTGTTAATACAGTATGTCCATTGTGAGTATGATACCTATTTTTGTTTCTTCAATAAATTATTTTAAACGATAATGCACTAGGTCGGTGCGCCCTTTTTCTGTTTCTCCATTTGTATCCAGTGTATTTGGACCACCCCGGTCTGTTGAGGGCAGCAAGCAGTGCATATTCCAGAAAATTCCAGAACATTCCTAATGGGTCTACTGAGTCCTTTCCTAGCGCAGGAGTAAAGTGTTTGTTGTGTTGGAGTGGAAAACCATCGGCTGGACACACCAGAAGATGAAACCAAGATGTAGCCAAGGTGAGCAGTGTGACAGATCGCTCAGGTGCCAGGAACTGGTATTGACATCAGTCACCACAGTACCAGGACACTTTTGGTTTAAGGAAAGTTTTACTGTATCTCCTTGACATACTTCTTATCCTCAGAGAAATTGAGGAAAGGATAGTTAACAAGCAGGAAAAAGGTTTTCTACTACCAAACAGTTGTAGCACCTTTACTCAAGGTGCACAAATCCATCCAGAACCCCCCAGGCAGGCCCATTAGAGCCAGTACCAACAGTTTTATTATCGGGTTATATTATTACATTGATGTTTTTCTTAAATCTATTGTTTTTTTCTTTAACTTTTTTATAAGGGATTCAGGTCACCTAATCAACACTCTATGCAAATATACATGGGAAACTGCTATATATGGATCTTCCTGGATGGGAGTTCATTGTACACCACCATTCTACTCAAGGTGGGTGGCCAGCGGGTGCTCCCAGCAATCAGAGACTCAACCTTTCAGCCAGCTAACACCTGGAACTGATGATACTGGTGTATTTAAGGGATGGCCAGACTTGCAGACTCGGCCTTGGTGTTGTGTTTGTCCTGGGCCCTGTATCTGTCCTGCATCCTGTTTCTGTTCCTTTGCTGACCCTGCCTGATCTGAACCGCTGCTGACTTCTCGAGCTCTGATCCCGGCTCGCTCCTGACCATCCCTCTGCCTGACCCTCTGTACCACGCTGCTTGCTACCTGTTCTGATCCCTGGCTTGTGACCCTGACCATCCCTCTGCCTGACCCTCTGTACCACGCTGCTTGCTACCTGTTCTGATCCCTGGCTTGTGACCCTGACCATCCCTCTGCCTGACCCTCTGTACTACGCTGCTAGCTACCTGCTGAACCTGGCCTGTGACCCCGACCAATCTCCGCCTGCTCCCCCTGTACCTACCTGCCCTATTGATATTGACCCGGCCCTGCCTGACGACGCTTGCTTGTATGTACTGTTATCTGTGGGTGGTTGGTTTGGTTTGTTTGCACTGTATTATGTTTTAGTATTGCACTGCGTTTATGTTTGTATGGTTAGTGTTAATAAATTATATTGTTTATCACATATCTGAAGTCTGCGTTTCCCTGCGTCAGTCACACACCTCTGGTCACACCTGGGAGCCCTGACATTACACCAAGGCCAATCCTGACCAGAAGTGGCTGCACAGGGAAGCCATCTTGGCTTGTTGCTGGGAAGGATGGATCTGGATGAGGTTGAGTATTTATCTCTGCTAGTGCTTGATGACAGAAAATATGCTTATCAGACTCTGAAGGAGTATACCCTGGATGAACTGCTAGAATGTATACGGCTCGCTCATGTTCTAGTAGATCAGGGCACAGATTTCTCTATGGTGCAGCCATTGATTAAGGTTTGTGTTGAGTTGGTTTCATCTGGTTTCCCCGAATGCAGGGATGAATTTTTGCCACCATTTAGTGCAGACCAGGTAGAGTCCCTGGTGTGGTTATTAGAGGATGATGTGGGTTACTTTCTGGAACGTTATTCCACATGTTCACCACAGATACTAAGAGATTGTATAAACGCAGTGCAGTCTTTGGTCAGACAGGCTTTGTGTAAGCTCAGCTTTGTTCAACCCATACTGCAGACATGGACAGACTTGTTGCACCCAGCCTCAGTCAGCTTACAAAGACCCAGTCCTGCTTCTAATCTATTTCCTCAAAGCTCTACTCCTGTATTCCCAACAACTCCCTCAGTTACAGCCCAGTATACTTGGCTATCTACCGCATGTCAGTACCCTGTTCCCACTCGCTGCACCTATCCTGCCTTTAACCCTGTAAAAAAGCCCTCTGTAGCAACTGCTCCCCTCTCCTGTTCCATCCTCCAGTTCTTCTCTGTCTCCAGCTGGTCCATTCGTTTGCAGACCTGCGTTTGCTTGCAGTGCTCCAGTAGTTAAAACCAGAAAAAAGCGAAAATTCTTTCCAACCAATACCATCCTGCCAGTATCCAAACCGGTGAACCTGCCTTCCGTGGTTCAGCCTGAATCCTCTACTCAGCCTGAAGCCTCTACTCAGCCTGATGCCTGTACTCAGCCTGATGCCTGTACGCAGCCTGATGCCTCTCTTCTGCCTGAAGCCTCTACTCGGCCTGAAGCCTCTCTACTCAGCCTGATGCCTCTACCCAGCATGATGAACTGATCCAGCCTGACGATCCTATTAGGCCAGTTGACTCAATGCCCGCTGTTGATCCAGATGATCCGGTACCTGATCCGGTGGTGCCCGCTATCGTGCCAATTGACTCAGAGCCCGCTGTCGTACCTGGTGACCCGATGCCCGCTGTCGAGCCAGACGATCCAATGCCTGGTGACCCGGTGCCCCACTGTCGTGCCTGTTGACTCGGAGCCCACTGCCTTGCCAGATGACGCGGTGCCCGCTGTCGAGCCAAATGACCTGATGCCTGGTGACCCAGTGCCCGCTGTCATACCTGGTGACCCGATGCCCGCTGTCGAGCCAGACAATCTGGTACCTGATGACCCGGTGCCCACTGTCGTGCCTGTTGACTCGGAGCCCACTGCCTTGCCAGATGACGCGGTGCTCGCTGTCGAGCCAAATGACTTGATGCCTGGTGACCCGATGCCCGCTGTCCAGTCAGACGATCCAATGTCTGACCCAGTGCCCGCGGTCATACCAGTTGACTCGGAGCCCACTGCCTTGCCAGATGACGCGGAGCCCGCTGTCGAGCCAAATGACCTGATGCCTGGTGACCCGATGCCCGCTGTCCAGCCAGACGATCCAATGTCTGACCCAGTGCCAGCGGTCATGCCAGTTGACTCGGAGCCCACTGTCGTGCCTGGTGACTCGGTGCCCGTCGCCCCGCCTGGGGCCCGATGCCCGTCGCCCCGCCTGGGGGCCCGATGCCGGTCGCCCCCGCCAGGGGCCCGATGCCTGTCGCCCCGCCTGGGGGCCCGATGCCGGTCGCCCCGCCTGGGGGCCCGATGCCGGTCGCCCCGCCTGGGGGCCCGATGCCTGTCGCCCCGCCTGGGGGCCCGATGCCTGTCGCCTCGCCTGGGGACCCGATGCCTGTCGCCCCGCCCGGGGGCCCGATGCCTGTCGCCCCGCCCGGGGGCCCGCTGCCTGCTGCTCCGCCCGGTGGCCCGGTGCCCGCTGCTCCGCCCGGGGGCCCGGTGCCCGCTGCTCCGCCTGGTGGCCCGCTGCCTGCTGCTTCGCCTGGTAATCCGATGTGCCTCTGCCCGGAGTCCTGCCCGATGTGCCTCTGCCCGGAGTCCTGCCCGATGTGCCTCTGCCCGGAGTCCAGCCCGATGTGCCTCTGCCCGGAGTTTAGCCCGATGTGCCTCTGCCCGGTGTGCCTCTGCCCGATGTGCCTCTGCCCAGAGTCCAGCCCGATGTGCCTCTGCCCGGAGTCCAGCCCGATGTGCCTCTGCCCGGAGTCCAGCCCGATGTGCCTCTGCCCGGAGTCCAGCCCGGTGTGCCGCTGCCCGGAGTCCTGCCCGGTGTGCCAGTCTTTGATATCCCGCCACTTACCAGACCCGGGCGGTGGAACATTTTGCCCAGCTAGGACTGTTTGGAGCGTCCTGAGGCCGCCCCTTTGGGGGGGGGTACTGTCAGGAATGGACTGGCCAGCAATGGTGGGACTCACCTGCCTTTTGATCTGCAGTACCAGGGCTGGCCAGCGGGTGCTCCCAGCAATCAGAGACTCAACCTTTCAGCCAGCTAACACCTGGAACTGATGATACTGGTGTATTTAAGGGATGGCCAGACTTGCAGACTCGGCCTTGGTGTTGTGTTTGTCCTGGGCCCTGTATCTGTCCTGCATCCTGTTTCTGTTCCTTTGCTGACCCTGCCTGATCTGAACCACTGCTGACTTCTCCTGCTCTGATCCCGGCTCGCTCCTGACCATCCCTCTGCCTGACCCTCTGTACCACGCTGCTTGCTACCTGTTCTGATCCCTGGCTTGTGACCCTGACCCATCTCTGCCTGCTCCCCCTGTACCTACCTGCCCTATTGATATTGACCCGGCCTGCCTGATGACGCTTGCTTGTATGTACTGTTATCTGTGGGTGGTTGGTTTGGTTTGTTTGCACTGTATTATGTTTTTAGTATTGCACTGCGTTTATGTTTGTATTGTTAGTGTTAATAAATTATATTGTTTATCACATATCTGAAGTCTGCGTTTCCCGGCGTCAGTCACACACCTCTGGTCACACCTGGGAGCCCTGACAGTGGGTCTTAATGCTCTTCAGTATTTTCCTCACTAAAGATCCAAACAATAATTACAAGCAGGTCAATTTTATTATAGACTGTACCCAATTCAGTCTGGAACATAATTATTTTAGCTATATAAATCATTTCTTTTTGCAGACCCATGGTACTGCTACGAGGGAAAATGATGCCCTAGGTTATGCAAATATTGCCATGGGTCTCTGGAAGGAATCCGTTTGCAGAATACATCATATACTAAGGCAGGTATATTGATGACATTATATTGGTACCTAATTAAATATACTGAGCTATCAAATATTTAAAGAACGTTTCACAGTTACTTGTTTTCTATAACTTTGCTGTGAGTGATGTCTAGACATATGCATATGTCTAAAGAATATGTTGTCTTTTTAATGCTAGTAGAGAGCTGTCTTGCATTTAATTTTTAATCATAGATCGTGTAGATTGGATAATTGGTTTCTTAAAGTTTTGTAATTTAAAAAAAAAAATTCTACTCTAGTGGTTGAGTATAGGCCACATTGCTCCATTAACTGGTTTCTGCATACCCTCAGCTATTCTGACTGTAGGGTTTTGTTTTTATGTTTGGCTTGACCATAGGAAGTGCAGCTGAAAAATATAGGTGAGTGGACAACCCACTGGTTTTCAGAGATCCTCCATATGGGCTTCTTTTGTTTATCTTTTGTTTGTTAAATATTTATGATATTATTCTTATTTGGAACAGTGATATCCAGGTATTGGATTCCTTTCTGAAACATTGCAACATTAACAATTTTGGGTTTACTTTTACACATGTGGCAGACACCACACATTTGAATTTTCTTGATAAGAATTGACCCATGAGGATGGTATTATTGTAACCAAGAACCATTTCAACCCCATGAGTGGTAACTTGTATTAACATTATGGGAGTTTTCACCATCCATCTTGGAAAAATAACATTCCAACAGGGCAGTTTTTCTGGCTGTATGAAAAACTGTATGAATACTGAGGACTATAAGGACAAAAGTTTGGTATTTTTTAAAAATTTTTTAGAAAAGGGTTATCCCAAAGATCTCGTTGATAGGGCCTATAGGAATGAGGTGGAGAAGGGTCATAGAGATACATGTACTGAATATACAAAATGTAATTGTAACTATTGAGCCATCTCTCTCATTATCAATTGGCACATTTTATCACATGACCCTAAGTTAGGCCCCATATTACCCAAGGTTCCTGATGTAATCTTTAGGAAGGCACATTCTCTTAACAACATTATTGCCTCCAGTAAATTGCCAGAAGATATAAATAAGAACAGCATAAGTTTTTTTTTACAGATTAGGCATGTTAAATTGGAAAATAAAAGCATAATTGCCTTAAAAATCAATTCATCTCCCATGGTCAAACCACATTTTGTGATTCTGCAGAAAGTATATACAAAATGTGATTAGACAATTTATTAATTGTTTTAGTCAATATGTTGTATATTGTTTACAGTGTTCCTGCAACCTTTTGTAGGTGGGATGGACAAAGCGCCTTTTACTTCAGTGAATTGGGAGCATGGTAGGTTTATAGAGAATGGTTCCACTGAAAATAACAGTCCTCAACATTTTCTCCATCACACAAAAAAAACATTAGACAGTTGAGAGCATGGGCGTAGTATGGGGGGAGGAGCTGGGGTGGTCACCCTGGACACAATATTTGGGCACAGAAATTATGGCGAGCCCTGATTTGGTGGTGGCAGGAGCAGAGCAGCAAGCAGCGGTGTCTTCAGGGGGCCAGCATCTGTCTGCACATGACAAGTGAGCGGCCCTGAAGATGGAGGCCACAGGAAGGTGAACAGCAAGGGCAGATATGCCTGAGAGCCAAGGAGGCAAAAGACATCGATCGCTCCCTGAAGAGGCGAGCTCAGTGGACACAGGCCACGCAGCATCCATGGTGCAGCGGTGCCTCCCAGTCTCTGGATTCCTTCCAACAGTGACAGCGTCCCACAGGACGGAGATAGACGAGAGGAGTAGGCGTCTACTGCTGGCATCATACACACCTACCTGCAGAGACTGGGACAGGAGGGCATAGGAGAGACTGCAGAGTGGGACAAGGATAGGGGTCTCTCTCTCTCACCCCGTCTTGCCCCCCCTCTCATCCTCCTTTCTCTCATCCACTCAATCCCTGTTTCTCATCCCCCTATCTCTCACTCCCCCTTCTCTCTCTCTCACCCTCCCCCCTTTTTCTCTCTCATCTCCCCTCTCACCTCCTCTCTTTCATCTCCCTTCTTCTCTCTCACTCCCCCTCTCTCATCTCCTTCTCACCCCCTTTCTCTCTCACCTCTCTCACCCCTCCCTCTCTTCCTCACCCTCTCTCTCTCACCCTCCCTCCTCAGCTCCCTCTCTCTCTCTCACCCAATCTCTCTCTCCCTCCCCTTTCTTTGACCCCCCTCACTCACTCTCACCCATCCTCTCTCTTTCACCCCCTCTCAACCGCTCTCTCACCTGCCCTTTTTATCTCTTAACCCCCCTCGTCTCCCCTCTCTCACCCCCTCGATCTCACCCCTCTTTCTCTCATCTCCCTTCTCACCCACCTCTCTTTTGCCCTTCTCTGTCTCTCACCCCCCCCTCTGTCTCTCACCCTCTCTCTCTCTCACCCCCCCTCTCACCCCCTCCTCCTCAGCTCCATCTCTCTCTCACCTCCCTCTATTTCACCCCCCTCACTCTCAGCCCCTCCCTCACTATCAACACCCTCTCTCTCTCTCTCACCTCCTCTCTCACCCATCCACCCCTCTCTCACCTGCCCTTTCTATCTCTCATCCCCCCTTTCTCTATCCCCCCTCACCCTTCCTCTCTCTCTCATCCCCCTCCTTCTCTCACACCCCCATTCCTCTCTCTCACACCCTCCCTCTCTCCCACCCCCTCTTCATAAACCCCCCTCTCATAACCCCCCTTTCTCTTGCCCACCCCTCTCCCTATCTCACCCTCTCCATTTCTCTCACCCCCTTCCTCTCTCTGTAACCCCCTGTCGGGTGATGATCAGAGAGTGGACTAGGAGCTTTGTGGTGCCATTGGTTAGGAAGGGGCATATTTTAGAAATGTTGCATAGATTGAGGTGGCAAGCTTTGGACAGTGATTGGATGTGGAGCTGAAAGGATAGTTCAGAGACCAGGAGAACACCTAACATCTTGGCATGTGGGGACTGGTTGATAGTTGTGCCTTCAATCTTAACAGAGAAGTCAGGGGATGGGGCATGTGGGGGAATAAATATTATGAGGTCAGTTTTGGATAGATTGAGTTTGAGGATGTATTGTGACACCAGGCTGATATGTCCATTAGTAGATTGGTGATGCATGTGGAGACTGATGGAGTGAGCTTTGGGGTAGCCATGGGAGGCTACCAACTGACCCAGGGAGAAGGTGTAGATGGAAAATAGGAGACGTCCAAGAAAAGAACCTTGGGGGACCCTGACGGAGAAAGGAAGACGAGAGGAGAAAGTGAGATTGTAATTGATGCTGAAGGTGTGGTCAGATAGATAGGAAGAGAACCAGTGAAGAATACAGTCATGGGGACCAACGGAGTGGAGTTTTTTTTTTAGGAGGAGGGGGTGGTCCAGTGTGTCAAAGACAGCAGGGAGGTGCAGGAGTAGGCAAACAGAATAGCATCTATTGGATTTAGCTGTTACTGTGAGTTTTAGGAGAGGGTCTTACAGGAGGGTCTTTGGAGTGTTGAGAACGAAATGCAGACTG